TTCCCTACATCCAGTTGCATTCCAAAGATGGGTTTGAGAAGGCCTGTATTTAGAAATAAAGGTGATTTATACCTTTTGCACTGCAAAGGGATCCCTCTGTTCATTGTCCAGATATTTCTCTAAATTAAAGAAGGTGTTGTAGAACACATGAGCCATTCTGCACCTCTTCAGGTCTCGCAGGGTTACTCTTCCTGCAGAAAAAACCCCACAGTATTGTGCTGAGTTCTTAGTGACAGACTGGATATGTTCCTTGTCAATCTTATCAAAGTTTTAATTATAACACCAGCATGCTAAAATATTACAAAATTTCTTCCCAAGTCAATTAAGGATTTTAACATTATTCAATAAATGGGTACATTTATTAGGCTTAAATCTCACATACATATGGAGGTCTTTCACATTCATGTGAAATATGAAAGAATGTGAATGGGGATGGTCCAGTTTCATAATCTAGACTGTCAGCATATCCCACAGCTGCAATATACAAAACTTGTTGCTCCAGTTCCAGCAAGTTAATTCACAAGGTCTCTTGTTTTAGTATTTCAAACCTCCTGATGCATAACGTTATGGCATAATAGCCACTGTTCAGACTTTCACCTTATGCAGTAATTTCAGCCCTGTGATTCTAACACAAGGCTCTACCTATAGACGGGTTTCACAGTGACATTACTTTCTCAATCCACCATAGATCAAACTCCTATTAAACAGGACTTACCTTCCCTCTCTGGCTTAACGAGATCAAGCATCTGACACAGCAAGTCATGAAATGGCAGTGGTTCTATGCCCATCACTTCCATCCGCTCACACTGCTCCTCATAAAAGTACTCCAGTTCATACATGGAGAGTACTCCATCCCCATCCAGGTCCATGCACCGAAACCAGTACTCAATGCTAGGAAAAAGAGACAGGGCTAGTGAAAGCACAGCACTGCACTAGGAAATCCATACAGAGATTGCAGAGATTGCAGCAATGCACATTCCCCTTCCCCCATCCTCCAACGCTCTTCTGCCTAAAGGCTGTCATAAAAGCAGGGATGAAAATACCCTTTGGGAAGGATCAGGACACAGGCTAGCACTCAAGACTGTCTCAGTCTCCTAGGTGGGTTGTGAGCACAGCCATGCTCATGACCTGTTTCACCTGGTAGCTGTAGTGAGCATCCGCTGTGCTGCAGCTCAACGGGCTCATGTAGGTTAGAGTGTCCCTGTCTGATTCAGCAGCCAAAGTTGGCCAAAAAAAACCAACTCTGAACCCAGGACACTGGCTATCCCCGAGTGACCCTGGTGAGTTATGAGGCAGGCATGGTACGCGCTTATTTCCTCTACTCCTTTATACAGAAGGCAATGCTTTCAGGCAGTTACACTCTACATCATCCCTTCACCTCTGGATAGCCCAACCCTGGATTTATGAATTATTCTTCTCGTTTTTAGTGATAAGGTTCCTTGTCCTAATAATTGCATACAGATCTAGTTCAGCTCTGCACAATAGTCTCCCACTGCCTGTACACATCAGGCAGGCAGGCAGGTTTTACAAAGTGACACAACCCTTCTTACGCATTTGCCACATGCATGAAGGGAACATGCCTATCTGCTGCAAACACCTCATGGGTTCACCCCCAGAGCCAGTGCTCCATGGCATGGGGTAACCAAAGGCATTGATGACTACCAAGACATTTAATATTACAAGAAAACTCTGCTTCTACATAATTTCTCCTCAGAAAAGGCAAATGATTTGACCAAAGGTTGATAGTAAGTTGCTTTCTTCCTAATAATCACTGGATCCCAAGCTGCCATCCCTTGTAGAAAGCAGTAGGTCACAGAAGTTTCTATAATCTTATCTGCTCTTCTCAATGCTTTTACGAAGAGACAGAAATCAGTCAGACCTTGTAGCACTCCTTTTGTCTTCCTCCGAAATCAGGAGCCACACAAAATCGGCGTAACTCATGCGGCCTTCCTTTTGAACTTCATTGCCTCTGGAAGACACATGAGAAAAAAAAAAAAGCCACCAGGCTCCTAAATACTCAGAATGTTATCAAATGTTTTTCAAAAGCCCCAAATCATTGGCGAGAGAAAATGGGGCATCATCACCCATTTAGCCTGTACTCCCTGCACTCCCCAGCACCAGTCCTTGTGCCTTTCCCCACAGGCACAGCATTTTCTGCCTTGCTGTCACTGCAGAGCTGAGGCTCATCTACCACGTCTCCTCCCACAACATGTGCTGGGCTGTTTTACTTTTCAGAGACTTTAAAGCAGTGCTCTCCAGCTATCCCTGTGCCACTGTGGGGCACAAACACATAGTGCTTGCGTGTTCCCTCCAGCTATGCCCAGCTTGTTCTACAATGAGGTCTATAGGTGGTCATCCTATGGGATTTTTTAATTTGTTTTCTTAAGATACCCAGAAGTCTCACTCCATTTTCAGGCAGCTCCAGCCGGAGCACCATGTTGGAAACCATTCAGATCAGTGTGGATTTTTGAGAGTATCTTGCATTTCTAATCAGTCTGACAGAAATTCCCTTCACTTTTATCTCCAGTACGCTATTCCTCACCTCACCACAGCGCCGCTGAATATTCGCTCAATAATCCTGTTTGATAAAGCTGGAAACAAAGAAAACAGAGAAAATGAAGCTACAGGTCACAGGAATAACTACAACCAGTTGTTTATGCTGAATCAACACAAAGCCATTTCCCATTGCTAAAAGAATGCTCTATCTGCATTGCCTGTTTAACCACTTTACTGGTCTCTGTTTAGCAGCATTCTGTAAAAAACAAAGATAATTCTCCCAGTGTGTCTGCCTTTGTATCCTCCCAAACACAGTATTTCCCCACAAATATGGCAACTGTGTGTTATCTGGATTCTTAGACATGGGCAGTGTTACTCCTACTTTGTTGCAGTAGGATTTATCACATAAGCAAATCCTGCTGATAGAAGGAGACTATTGCAGTGTGTATTGCAAAAGAAGTTCAGTTATCAAGCAAAAATCATACATCAAATCCCTACAAAACACTTCTTAGCAGAGCACAAGCTGTGGCAATCCTGCTGTAGGGAGGGACAATGAAAAACAAGCATCATTTTAGGTGAGCGGGAGGACTTTGCCAGCCAGGAAATGTGTGGGATAGATTGTTATGGCAGAGACACACCAGCCAAGCAGCAAGTACCAGTAAAAAAAACTGACCTCACTCTCCCAGACTGCTGACACACTTCCTTTAGACCCCCACCTTAGCTCCTTCATGTTCTCCATCACTTTGGTAGTCCTGGCACATTTCCGACACACCAGTCAGGCAGACCCAACCTGCACCACCCCTTAAATCCCGCTGGCACACTGCTGACAGGCTGCTGTACCACTGCACTGATGGTTTCTCCCCTTCACCCTGCCCACAGGACCCCTTCTATCTTTAGCTCCTGGCACCCAATGCGCTCAAGCCTTCTGTGCAACAAATACTCCATCCCCACACTCCAGCCTCCCAGCAGGGACCAAGTCACCTATCCCAATATCACCTATCCCAAGTCAGGCACTTCTCCATCCTCACCCCATCCAGCCCCATTGTCAACACTCCTGACCCCTGTGACTGCCACACTCACGCAGAACCCCCATGGCCTTCCCATAAACGCCTGCACTCAGAACACGTGGGCCACCACAGTACTCTGACACACACACGTACCTACAGCATTGTCATTATCACACCCCTTTCCTTCTTTCTTACTTCAGCCCACTAGAATCTTGGCTCCTACTAGATGTTGCTCCCATTCCCAGAGCTCCAGCAATGCCTGACAACTTGTCACACCTCCAGATCCCTGTCACCCTACACACTACAACACCTTACCACATACTTCACCTTTCCTGCCACCTCCAATCACACATTGTGTCCAAACATCCCATTTCCCCGAATCTGATTCTCTGTCCCAGACCTACTTTCCCAAAAAGTGCAGCAACCACATGGAAGAATCCAAGAAGGCTCTGCCTTCAGGATTAAACACGCTGGTCAATAGCTCAAGCTCTTGTCCAAAACATTACATCATGAGTCCTAACAGGTACGCACATGGGCATATCATGCTCTCAGAACATGGATAATCCTAAAAACAGCCAACCTGAGTGCCTCCATCTAGCACAACGCACACAGAACAAGTGCGTTTGGATTTTTTTACCCCTTTGTCGATTTGTATTCCATTAACTTATCCTCGGCCCTTGAATCTTTGAAAACTCATAGCATCTGCTCAACTTGTGGAAAGGAATTCCACAGTGAACTCAAGAGATATTCTCCACAGTGCATCTGCAAACTGAAATTCACCAAGCTTCACTGGATTCTAGAATTTCTTTCACTCATAATGAGATTGCACTTCAGCAATATTTGAAGTTCACATGGGCTTGTCCTTCTTGTCCCTACTTCCAAGTTCCTACAAAACCCTTAGTAAATAATAAGCAAGTTTCAAGACATTATTTTAGTTTGTCCTTCTGGCAGTGATCGATCCACACATGAACAGAAGCTCGCTCTCCAGTTACTCATGCAGGAAATAGTGTGTACTGCATGTCTCTGTGTCTAAGCCCCTACAACTGGCTCTGTAAATCAGCATTTGTGTAAGAGATGGATGGCTCCATTTAACTTTTTTTGAGGCATCAAATTAACCAAATTAAAGCCAGACTTTACTCTTTAGTGGGAACATTCCATTTTCAGCAATCCCTTTGTCCCACCACAGCTTGCAGGCAGCATACCTTGATCACTGTACCTAGCCAGATCCTTCTGGCTGATGTAAAGATCATGGTCGGTGTCCAGCTCCCAGAATTTACAGTATATAACATAGAAGTGCTCGTAGGAGAAATAATCTGTGATCTGATTTATGTCATCCTCTTCTTCCAAAAGAGCAAGAGTCTGAAAGAGTACAAGTAAAGTGGGAAGTTAAACCTCGACAAAGAGGCAGTTCAGCAGCTGAAGTCCTCCAACCTCTGTGGAACTTGGGTGAACACAGCTCTGAGAGCTGATCCAAAATGCAGCCTGTAGGAGATTTTGTTGCTGCATTCCTTAACAGGCACTTACAGAGCATCTGGCTTGGCTATCCTGGTTAGCATATGTATGCACAATATTCCTGCCACTCCTGTGAACAATTTCTGCTAGTTTTCAGCGATAGTGAAGAGTGAGGCAGAGAAACAAGAACATAACTGCTGTCTCAGCTGAGATCCATTATTTGTGAAACATTTCTGACCTGCACCAGAGACTCTTAACACCATTTACAAGAGCAAGTCTGAGATACATCTTTACACATCACACATCCTTGCCTGGCTCCCGAAGGACAAAAATCAAGTCTTGCTCCAGACTCATGCCTGGACTGGGGGCAGAGGGATGAATCCGAAGCAGATCAAACCAATCACACTGATTTTCCTGGGCTGTCGCTGACAGGAATTAGTCTGGTTTAACTGGGAGGCTTAGACAGATTTCCAACCATGACATCTGTTAACACGTCTCATTAGAAAACATTCAGTGACAACGTCCTTGTTTCATTCCCACTTCACACTTATCTCTGTCCTTCCCTCCACTCCACCTTCCCACCAACAGGAGAGTATTGCATGTTTACCAGTGCCACCTCCCTGCTTGCCTTTCTCCTAGTACTGAGGCCACGGGACACCAGACAGCCTTTTCAGTTTGATAAATTATGGCTGCAGGAATGTGAAAAGGCTAACAGACTCAAGTGAGCTATAGGTCTGTCCTCCCCTGCTTTCACAGCCTCTCAGAAGGGAGGAGGTGAAACACAGCCTAAGAGCTATCCCAGGGAGTTGTGTCTCTAAGCAGACAGGCTTAGTGGCCCTTCTATCCATAACCATAAAAACAGATGCTGTGCTACATGTAGGCACTGATAGTTCAACGTCAACTTTCAGTCACCTCCACATCCAAGGAACCCAACTGAGTCTCAACAAAATTCTCACCCCCTGCTATGCACCAGGTTCAGTAACATTTCAGGCAGGGACAACATGATAGCACTGCCAGTGCACTATTCTGACTTGCTGACACTCAAGTCTAAACATCTCTGATCAATCACTCTCTAGCCTCTTCAAATTCTTTGTGGGTCTCTCCATTTCTTTGCAGACAACAATCACTTAGGGAGGTTTTTCAATAATTAATTTTTTTCTTTTATAGTTCATGCCAAAATATGCCATTTACACATGCAGCAAAGAGCTGCCCAAGCAAAATTATGGTCCCAGAGCTGAACTTCCCTGCTGCAGGAGATGAAAGGCAGGGTAGATATGCAAGGAGAAAAAGGGGAAGAGTGTATAAAGGGAGAAAGTGAGTGAATAAAGATGCAGGACAAGTTGGGAGGATTTGTTTGTAACAGAGGTTAGGAGGAACTGGGATGAGACAGTCCAAGGGGGCACTGATTTTTTCATTAGCTGATGTGATCAGTGCGGCAGAAGATGTCTGAAAGGAGGAGGAGCGTGAATTCATGCTTGAGGCTTTTGAGGAAGGCAGCACGCTACATCTGGAAGGGAGAACAGGATGCAGTAGGGAAGTCTCACTGCTTTAGCAGAGTCCTTGACCTTTCACCCTAAAGACTTTCTGGCTTTTTAGGTTGGGCTGGAGCTGAGCAGCCTTAGACAGTTTTACTCTGGTGCTCTTTTGAGCAAAATGTAGAGAGAACAGAGATCCAAATCCTGAAACCTCTGCCCAACATAAGGATACATCGCAGGGATTGTAACAAGAACTAAGCTCCATTCATTAACCTTTCTGAAGAAGTGGAAATCAGCTCCCGAGATGCACGGTCTTGCAATTGCACAGCACAACATGCCTGACCAACTGTCAGTGGGCTGATCGCTGGTTGGGAGTCAGGAAATTGGCTGTCCTACCCACCTGTAGACAATCCAGCAGCTATTCTTGGCTGCTCAGTGAGCCACTTAACATAGGCGCACTGCTGTGTCCTCTTTGGCTACATCAGGAGCTACATCAGCCAATCTGCCTGATGTAGCTTCAGAGCAGATGCACAGTCGCCCCTTGACCCTCTATCAGTGCACTCTTGGCTACTCCAGCCCCTGGTCTTCTCTCATCTCAACTCAGACACAACTCCTCCACTAGCTCTGGCACTCTCCTGGCACTGAGCATTTGGCCTACCTCACTACAACCCAGGCACAGCTCCCTCGCTATATAATATACAGCTATAGGAACAAAGGTATGATGCATTTCATATCTTGTTCAGGCAGAAACCAACATACTTGCAAGAAGTTGCTTTTCCTCAGCTCTGTTAGAGTGATCTTCCCAGACCAGGATCGATTGACTGTGTAGAATATTCTCTGTATAACCTGCAATACATGAACAGTGCTCTTGAAATCAACTCCTGTTTGGGAATTTAAATGCAGTAACTTTATTTTGTTTATTCACTCATCCTAAGGGGACTTCTTTCTGAAAACTGTTTTGTGATTTTTTTTGTAGATATTCCTATTCTTAATTCACTACACAGTCTGAAAGTAACATTTGTTTCTGAAACGGTATTATCCATTTCCACTCTGCAAGTATTTTCACTGCTCTTAATTCACATCTTTAAGCATGCAGATGCATTACTTATGTCAGGGAATATATTCAAAGTGCTGACGAATCATTTTGAAACTGAGTTTTTCAGGTTTTAGGCACTGTAGCTTGCATAGGTCTCAACTGAAAGAGTTTTCTGCACCAGAAAAAAAAAAAATCAGGACTTTTGAAGAGGAAACAGGACATGTAAATGAAAGCCACAATTGATGTCTGACCTATTGTGTCTACAACAATGCCTCATCCTCTTGGTGGCTCCACTGAAAGTAAGCAATAGAGATTATGTGTCTGCATTTATCTTAGGTAGGTGTTAACCTCATTTGTCTCCTTTACTGATCTGCCTCTGGTGAAAGTGAGTAAAAAGCATGGGGGGAACGCACAGACTTCTGAGAATCCAAGAGAAACAGTTCACAGTATGAGACTGAGTACACCCCCAAGTACCTAAAAAAGCAAGCTGAACCCTTCCCAGTCCGCTCCTTGTCAGGTTGTCAAATACCATCACAAAGTGGGGAAAACGCAAATGTATGATCAAGCACATGCAAGAATGAACTTAACAGGAGAAACAACAACAAACAAACATCTTCAACAAGAGAAATTAGGAATATAATTAATTTGACTATCAGCACTGAAATCTATGGAATGTAATTCTTGTTGACCAAACCTAATACAAACAAGCCTTTGATGTCTCTGACATCATGTTGACAAATTATCCTAGAATTTTGGTAAATCTTAATAGTGCATGCTATTCCAACATAAAAATTAACTTTACACAACAATATGGACATTATAGGGATTAATCTCGTTAACAAATTAAATGGAATGGGTTTGTTTCTTAACTAGAACTATCTTCGAGTGGGCAATCACCATTTAAGGGCCATGCTTTGACTCAGGTCACACAAGCACTGGTTCTTAGTCCGGAACAGATCTGGAACCAAGTAAGGGATTGTTCCTGTACAGACTCAGTCTGCTTTGGGATACACAGATTAGTGAGACAGTAAATGCTGATGAGCACAAATAATTTTCAGAGCAACAAGAATGATCTGAGGACTCAAAAATGTACCCGGAATGTTCAACTTAGCTGAACATGACACCTATAGGTAGCTATCCTGGTCCTTAAAAGCCTACATGGGGAGATGTGGGAGAGCAGGAGGACTTTTTGTCTCTCATGAAAATACATAGTTAGAAGCTGAAATCAGCCTCATTCAGACAGGTAAGAATGCACTTCTTTTACACTGCCATGGATTAACCACTGGGACAACTCCCAAAGAAATACTGCAGGCTCTTCATCACTCCAGACTTCAAAGATGGATGTCCTTCTAAAGTTGGGTGTCAATTCAATTAAAAACAAACAAAAAATCTATCCTAACTATAGCAATCACTGAGCAATGTTCTATGGCCTGTGTAATGCAAGAGGTCAGACTAGGTAACCACAATGATCTTTTCTGGTCTTAAGCACAATGAAAAAGCTGTATGTTTGTTTCTTCTTTAATGCCTCTGGCAGCCACTGCCATTCTGGACTCTATTTTTGGACTTCGTTTGGCCTTTGCTTCCAGATTGCACAACAGCTCAGAGACTGAAGTGGGTCTCACCTCATACATAACCCATTATCACACCTGACAACTCTGTAGCAATTCTTAAAGATACAGGGTTTTCGCACCATTCCAAGGACTCAGAAATAACAATCCCAAGAATCAGAAAAAGGACCCCTAACCAGCAATCTTTTTTTTTTCCTCTGCCTGCAGGGTAATAAAAGACAACAAAATATCCCCCTGTTTGTGACATGTAAGAAACTGTTCCTCTATCAGACCACATTGATAAACATGTTCCATCTGCTCTCTCCTCACCTAGCTGTAAAAATAAGACATTCAGAGGTAAAGTGGGATCTCTTTTCATCTCTTTTACCGTGTCCAATCACTCAGTCTGGGCTTTATTATTCAAATAATGGTCCAGTTTCAATGGATAGTATATAGTGTATATATCAGTATAAAATGTCAATACTTCTCTCTTTCTTTTCCAGGTTGTTAAAACCAAGCTGTGAAAAAAAGCATTCTGGAAACATCCTAGAACATAACCACACAACCTGAAATGATTTGCAGCATTCAAGCCACACTCATCAGTTATGCCTTACTGAAAGCCATAACTGGCTTCATTTTTCCCAGCATGCAAGATTACTTATTCCGAATTCAGTGCATAAGCCTTTGGAAGGGAGAGCCCCTTCCTATTTGCCCATTATCCTCATGTAATCTACCTCCAGGACCCAAACCATTATGGGTCAGTTCTAGACCTTTCCCCAATCTTCCCACAGACGAACAAAAGCAATACCATGTCTGGAAAAATCCACAAAGCTTTATTAAACCCCGTAGGCCATCCTCCCCTTACACATTCGCACTGGTTATACTGCATAAGCTGAAGCATTTTTCAACAAGCAGTAAGTTTGCCAAGTTGTTCTTAGTTGACTCAGCTTTTCAACAACAGCATGCAGTGCTAACTCTGAGCCTTGTTTGAACATTCTGGGAGAAGTCACATTTTAAAGCTTTTAGAATAAATGCTACGTGGTATTCTGCATCATCTTCACCAGCTTCAGGAGTCGGTCTCTGTTGAAACACACACAAGTAGTTTAGTATACCAGCAATACAACAGCTCACAGATAAAGATACAGATTAAATTACAGCTTGTTGTATCCAAAAGGCACCTCTAGAAGGTGTAGAGGTAGGCAAAAAAAAAAAATTGAAACGTGCATACACATCTTACCCATACTAGACTGTTATCTTACTCTCCAGGTGATTTCAACCAAGTGATTCAATCCAGCGACGAACATAAAAGCCAGTGTCTCCTTACAGCCCTCATCTGTAACACAAAAATAAAATGTAATTTTTGCACTTGCAGCAAATACAGTATTCTGTCACTGTAAGTAGGTATAAGGCACCCTACCTTGAAGGGATCAAAAGGATCCAAGTAGTCTCAAAATCCAAGGACAAAGCTGTTTCCTTCATTACCTCCTGGTGGAAATACTGAATTTTGTAACACTAAAGAGAGAGAAGTGCCAAACTGTCTGTGAAAGGAGATGTGAGAAATAGGAACTCCTGGTATCAGAGAGGAGAGCCACTGCTGCAGTGGGCCAAGTACTGCCACTCCACGTGGGAGCAACCTGACCCAACAGACTGACTGTCTCCCGAGGTCTTGACTCTGCCCCAACTCAGTGATCTGGCCAAAGCCAAACATGCTGAGCTCAGAAAGAATCTGTCTGTCAGCACAGACACCCAGAACAGCATTGTCCTGCCAGCGTGAGGAGTCTGTGAAGGACATCACAGCTTTGTAAGATTTGCCGCTACACACCATTTGCCTCAACCACAAGCACCACTGTTTCCTGGCTGCCTGGGAGCAAGCCCAGGAAGCCACCTCTGTCAAGAGTACCATGAGTAAGGATGCATAACGGCTCAGACTGAAGAAGGAAAGCACAGTGGAGGCACAAGCAGAATAAGAAGCACTGAGAAGCTTCATGTACTCAGGAAGGGTCCGGTTCTGTGACTGCTTTATGGTGGTCACACAGGACCTCGCCCAGGCAACAAGGGAAGTTGTGGAAAAGGAGAGAGGAAGGAAAAGGTGTTGCCCTTTTTAGTAGCAGCCTGCACTTCAGTTATCTTGAAGTGGAACCTCAGCTTCACACAGCTGGTCTCTCAGACCAGAACATACATTGCACCCCAATGAGGTCCAGAAAGTGCAGCAATTGCTGCTTCGGGACACCAAGGGTGATCATTTGGGGGATTACTCCACGAAGACATTTGTTTCTTGCCTTTATTCCCTCCCATAGACCCTGAAAAATACAGGAACAGCACATGACTTGAGAAGAACCTGGAAAGGCAGATGCACAGAACTGCCTTTGTCACCACCCAGCAGCCAGCATGAGGACAACCACGTGTTGTATCTTGTCCCGCTCACCAGCAAAGAACAACTGGTTGATACTGCAGTCAGAAACCGATGCTAATGTGACCTTAAATCTTTCAGCTCTCACCCCTCCATGTACTTTAAACACCAAATGCCACAGGCACCTTCCACGCTCACCGTAATTCCCTGGCCATTGTCATACCTATTCTGGCCAGTTACTATGCTTAATGTATCTTGTCTTGCTCCATGGGGACTAAATATGTTGATAATACACTGATGTTCACTTTCATGTTCAAGCACATCTAAACATTTAAAATTGATTCTTGTTACACATTTTCATAAAACATCAGTGTGACAGTTCAGGGTTTGCCCAGAGCAACAATGTCTTTCTGCCATCTGTTCCTTACAGGAAAGGAACAAGCCTGTGTCTGCCAGTAATCTCCCAGCTGCCAGTACGTGGTTTAGCTGGCCCCCATGCAGACCCTGGCAAGCAAACAGGAGAAACTTTAAGCCCTTGAGCCCTGCTGGGATACAGCTCCCATCAGGTCTGTCATTATTTGAATTGGTTACCACTGCAGAGATAAAACATCCTAACATTTTTACCTTTTATCCAGATTCATATACAACATGAAACAAGCTAAAGGCTTAAAAAAAAAATACAAACTTATTCAGGTAAAGCACCAGTCTAACTGCTAACTGCGAAGTCGGAACAAAGCTACAGAACAAAACCCAACAACAAACAGTAGCCACAAAAGCTCAGAGACTCAGAAAGACTAGATAGGCTTTCTGGCAAGAGCGAGAGGCAGAGGAGTTGGACAGTAGACCCCTGTGTGCAATGGATGCTTTGTACTATGGAACAAGCACAGATTCTCCACGTCTAAGTGACAGAAATCTTCAAACATACAGCCTTCCATGTCTCAGCAGCCCAGCAGAATTAGGGGTAACTTAGCAGCTCTCAAAGACCGAAGAAGGACCTCTCATTTTCCTTCATCAGGATTAAAGACCAAAAAAGTTGTTTTTATAGGTTTGCTTAAGTCCAGAAAGAATCATTATTAACTTTTTGAATAACCTCTTGCACACACAGGCAGATTCATTTTTCCTTTGGAAGTAGTTCTTAAAATAACTCATTGCCAGTAGTATTAAAAAGACCTGTTTTTTGAAATAACTGAAGGATTTGCTGATGGGAACAGTGACAAATCACAAAGGGAAGGTTGGTACAGCAGTATCACAGGAGATCAAAGGAGCCAGCCTACCGTCGTAATATACCGGGAATGGAACTCCGGAGCATCCTTCAGGAACGTCAGGCCAGGATGTGTTTCCACCACATCCTGCAAGATAAGACCAAATAAAGTGAAATAGATTTTCTTCTCCTTTTAATGTTTAGAAGTTACTGGGTCTACAAACCAATACTTTTGCTTACTTTAGAAACTGTATTTGCAGCATTAACAATAAAACTGAAATGACATCTTTTTATCTATAAAGTGAACCTTCTAGAAGCATAAGTAGAATACATTTTCTGGGCAATACGCACCTGTTGGGCCATTTTGATTTACTTAAGGACAGAAAAACAAAGGAAGAGAGTTAGTGAGTAGATGAAAACTCGTTTTCATTGAATGAGACAAAAAATTAATTAGTTGACCATGCAACTATCTCCTCTCCAAGATCTTTTTTTCCTCCATTCATTGAAGATATTAACATTTATTAGAGCTAGGTGTCAGAAATAAACATTCCTTGAAAGGTTGAGAAAGTTGCCTTTTATGTCCTCCACAACAATGAAAGCTCTTGTGAGCCTCAGAATGCATACAGATATGATCAGTGCTTTTCCAAAATTTACTTGAACTACCTGTGGAGATGCCTCTTTCTCAAGATCAGCTCTCTGTAAGCCAAACACTGGCTCATGATGCCAAATCTGCCAAGAAATGCATGACCAAAACCGTGGAGAAACTGCTCAGATCCTGAATGAATCAGTTCAGATCCTGTATGAATCAATGTCTCCGTTATTTCTACATGTCTGACTACTCTACCCTTTAAAAAAGTGTTCGAAGTTTTGCTTTGTCTATACCATGACACAGCAAAGGGATAGAGCAGACACAGTGCCCTTAGGGGTGCGATATGACCAAATTTTGGCCAGTCTAATATGTCTAATATGATGGTGTAATATGGTGTAATATTGCTAGCCTCTGGTTGACTGACAAACAAGATTGTACATGCCTTTGATTGCACCAGTTGCTAAAAAGCACAGCTGCAATCAATCACGAAAGGCAGTGTGCCCAGTGGAGAAAAGATGAAAAGGAACATGAGAAAATTTACCCATCACAGTCCCAGTTTTGTTTGAGACAGAAACATCCAGTGCAGACACAAAATCCTTCCCCAAAGCAGCATCTCTACAGAGATTTTGCATAAAAGGCAACACAGTGCAAGAGATCTAGGAATATGTGGAAAAGCTCAGAAAAAGTATCAACAGATGATCAGAGGTGCAGATGGACCTGATTTATAAAGAAACTATATCCTAAACCTATCCAGAGTCTGCCCAAATGGCCACAAATAATTAAAGAATGACATTTTGCTTTGTTAAAAATATCACATGTGAATAAAAGGAAAAGAAAGAAATGAAATCAGGATGCACAGATTTGGCCTGAACATCAGGAAAAAAAATAAATCAGCAGTGGGACTTGTGCACTAGCAGGTTTAGAGGCATATACAGAACAATTGGAACGGCAAAATTTTTTGCAAAGATTTCCACGTGATATTGTATCTGGTAGTCTTGCTGGATAAATTCAATTATAATTGTCTTGTCAAGCAACTTTTACAACTTTTCTAACAAGCTTTTATGTTGTGCTTGAGCATCAGAGCCATGCATTTTTCACAATAACCACCTAGAGAGATGGGGCAAATTTCAGCCTAGTTACCAGGCACTGATAACTATGAATCCTAACAAGAGGCTAAATAAAGCTTTGAAAATCCTCAGCGACTTTAGCAAGATACGTAGCTGGTTGGCACTTATGTAAAATAGTCCACTTAAAGTGGACTTATGCAGAATAGTCCACTTATTTCTATTTCACTCCAAAATAAACCCCATCCAGGTGCTGTTCAAACCAAGGTCTGCATGACTTGGTAAACATTTAAAGACATGAAAATAAAGAAGTTACAAAATAAACACAGTGCTCTCTCCCCATCTATTCACTGCTGAGCTGTTGCAGGTACCTGAAGTAGCAGGATGAAGTCCTCCTGTTCTAGGTAATCACAGCTAGGCTTCGCTAAAAGGTATGTGAATCTGGATGCATCATCATGGCAGTTACATAGGATTCTACAAGAGAGATGAAGAGTTACTCCAACTACTTTGTACCTCACAGGACAATCATGAACTATAGATGGATTATGAAGTGTCTTATCACATGTTACACATGTGAATTGTGCAAAATTGACCTCAGACTACCAGCACCCACTTTCTTCAATATCTTTCAGCAGCACCACAGTACTACCACGCAGTGGAGCTTTTTTCATGTTAACATTGCTGTGGTAAACAAGGTTTCTTACTGAAGACTGTTCTTACTTTGATTCCACAGCATCTTCGCAAGTAACCTGACTTTTCAAAATGCTGCATGCTCACTGACCTCATTTGAAGCCAATAGGATCAACCTAATGGGATGCCATAACAGATATGGTCTCCAATTTAATCCTTTACTGTATTTCAATATTTGAGGATATTGCCAAACTACAGTGACTAAATTTTCAACCAGAAAAATCATTCCCCAGAAGGGAAAAAAGAGCATCCCTTGTTAATTACGGCACAGCTGGCTGCTGTGCACTGAAGTAATGGAGAACAGCCTAATGAGAGAATTAGTAGGACTGAGTATTTTGAAAAGCATGTAAACTCATTCCTTCGGTTGACAGTTTGCATCTGTGACACTGATTCTTGTCTCTGCTTTCTTCTAATACAAAATACTACACTGGTTAAAGGTATCAAAATTACTTAATTCACTCCAAACAGAAATACTCATGAAAACGGAAACTCCATGACATTTACCAAATCACTACTGAATACCTGTAACAGAAGAGAACATTTGGATATATCAAACACTAAGTTGGTCTGATTTTCAGAAGTATTCTATACCATACCCAGCAATTCCTATTGACTTCAAATGAGATCAGTGAGCATGCAGCATTTTGAAAAGTCAGGTCAGCTACTAAGATGCTTGAAAATAGGCTTCAGCAATTAAAGATAACTGTTTTAAAATTATGGTTGTGTTCAGATAGCTGTAGTCTAACTTTACCAGGAACACTACATTTACTTCCGTATCATGTTTCCAGAAAATTTTTGCAACTGTCAGAGGGGAAGAGAAGGGCTGGGGGGGAGGGAGG